GAACAGAGCTTTGTTAACAGATAATGTCTGCCGTTGTTTTATAACCTGTTTCTGGTGTGCATTTGGTACAGTTGGTGCTTGACCTCACAGTTTTTTTGGTTTTTTTTTTCATTTCAACTGTGTCTTCTGTAAACTTTGCTTTTGCTTTTGATGTTGATTGGCGCCATGTGTTTCTTATTTCTTTAACAGTTTGACGTGTTTCACCACGAGTATTTATTATTCTCTGAAATCTGCAACCAAAATTTAGCTTTCCGTTCGTTTGAAACAGTGTTGCTGTTTCTCCACCAGGATTTGCTAAACAATTTTCCACCTCATCATGCACGATATTTTTTTGTGCTATGGAAACGTTTGGTTTTCTTAGTATTGGCAATATTTGTGATTGTTGCTTTTCTGCCATTGTCTGCTACACTTGATGTTTACATGTGCTTCGAATAAGGTATCATTGGTAATTCAATTGACTAAATATTTGCTACATGATTAATTTTGTTTACAGTGATTAGCCATTGCAATAATTAAAAATTGTTCAAAATTTCAAACGATGTGTTAACTAATATTGTGTTCAATTCTTTAATCACTGATTAGCACTAATATTTGCATTAAACAAACGACAAGTTAAACAACAGACCCTTGGGTATTAGAAATTAATGCATATTTGATAGTTATTAAATTATAGCTAGAAAAGAACAAAAACATTCGGTCAATGGCTTATTTTCTATACCATAAGACAATCTAAACAATTTGTAGGCATATCAATACGAAACAGCAAGATAACATCATTGGACAGCTGCCTTTTTATTTATGGGAACGATTTTTCCCATTTTATTTATACTTATTTCGACCACATTATAGTAAAGAGTATTTATGGAATACATAATTTAAAATATAAATATGGGTTCACATGACAACTAATTTGGACAGGTCAAATAATTATTGATCATGACAAAAAAAGATCTTAAAGTACAATTTCATTTCTTCCAATATACTGTGCCTGATACATACTTAAGTTATATCAACATTAAATAACTGATTAACTCAATAGTGACAATGATAGCATTGTTTTAGCTGAACGTTAAGTATGAAGAAAATTAGAGGCAACCAACAGTAGTAAATTACTGCCTTCAAACCCTAGGGGTATAAATGTGCATTTCATTAATAAATAAATAATAATAAAGATGCATATACCCATAAAAATATATAAATCAAGGTATTTTTTTTTTTTATTGAATATCATGAACTAAAAGGATCGAGACTGAACGTGTCAGCAGGGAAAGCGACACTGCTGTCCAAGCATCACCGGTAATGGGAATCAATACTCGTTTAACATTTCACAATCAGTGAATAGTATGGACTAGTATTCTGTGATCGAAAGATCTAAGTTGAGAAATATCAACGTCATGCGATGGAACAGACGACAAACCGCTGCAAAGAAATAGACAATTTAAATTTGGAAAGTTGAAATCACCAAGTTTGTTAAAGTAACGTTGGTGTCGTCCATTTCTGTCAATATGAAGAAAAAAATATAAGCATACCTCCTAATACTGTGAGAGTGGTTGGTTGGCTTTTCCCAGTTCCAACAATGTTAACAGCAAAGCATGTGTATTGTCCTGCATCATCTGTAAATACTTGATTGATGGTCAATGACGCAGACGTTACCGTTGCGCCATAGACACCAGATCTAGGCGATGTTACATTTTTTACTGTTCCATTAGACATTTTTTGCCAGTATACATCGGTATGGTTTGGAGTAGAAACGATAATGCATTCAAGTACCAAATAACTACCACTTCCTATGCTATAGTTCAAATTTGGAATTGTAACATTTGGAACATCTGTAAAATGCATTTCAAAAAAAGATGTAGTACAGTCAACATTGTGTTAAAACCTTAATCACTATAAAATCAAACAAATATGTCAACAAAGAAAAACGAAATTGGATATACTAAGGATTCCTGATTATTCGTTGGATACGAATTTTCGCAAATTTCGTGGGAACAGGTCAACCACGAAATAAAATATTCGTCGAATACCAAGTTTTCCTAAGGTTTGTATGCAGTCTTCGTCAAAACCACGAAATGACATATAAACGAACATGTAATTTTTTCTTAATCAACCAAAATTGCTACCCACGAAAATGAATGAATCCACTGTAGACAAGATACAAAAGCAAACACGAAAGACAGTATTTCAAAAGGATCAACTTTAAGACAGGGATAACTTATATTTACAGTTACATTAAATTGCTTCTTGGATTTTGTAAGATCTTTGTTTGGTTTCATATTTGAATTGTTTCACCTTTTTATATCTGACTATATTTGTACATTGAAGACCTTACGGAGACATTATAATGCTTCTAAATACGCTATTTGGATAATTGATTCATTGACAATTGTACTTAATTTCCTTATTTTATATTTAATAGATTGTTATAAAGTTCAGAATAACATGATTGACTGTATACGTAAAATGTTTATGTTGATCCAAAAACAAAAAAAATTTTGTTAAGTTACCAATCTATCTTCTTTTTGAATATCACTGATGATGTTTATATTTGTTACAACAACAAAACAAGATTGTTAAGTTACCAATCTATTTTCTTTTAATATCACTGAGGATGTTGATATTTGTTACAACAACAAAAACAAGATTGTTAAGTTACCAATCTATTTTCTTTTGAATACACAGGCAAATTTTGTTCACGTGAATTTCACGTGAGTCTCATTTCACGTGAAAGTCACGTAAAATTCATGTGAGTTTCACATGAATTTCACGTGAATTTTTGTTCACGTGAATATCACGTAAATTTTTCATGTGAATTTCACGTGAACAGTTTTACAAAATTTAACAAATTCTAACAAAATTTCACAATAAACATTTTAAAAACATACTCAGGAGAACATTTTTACTAGCACTTTAATATAATTTACATAAAAGGGGGACATATAACCATCAAATGATTAATATTTATCTTTTTATTTCGCATGAATTATCTCCCTTGATAGTGGATTAGATGCAACTACAAAAAGATCAGTGTTAGTTTTGAGTTGTATTTTCTATCACTGTTTATATTTATCTCTAGTAGAGCAATAAGGGTAGAATTTGTATCTTTGATTTCAAATTCCTAGATACCTAGATTATATTGATGGGCTAATATTGATTTATCAGTAAAATTTCTATTATTATTTATCAGTAAACTTAATTTCTTTCACACATTGAAAGTTTTCTTTATTTTTGTCCTCTTATAAAATATGGGAGGTAACTCCAGCTTATGAAATAGATTCCTGTTACTGTAATTAAGATCCTTTACTTTCCATAATTGCAAAGAAAAAAAATGAAAATGAATATCAGTTACTTCAAAACCTGAGTTATCTCCCTTTTTTGCTGTGTATTAAGCTTTTCCTCAAACTTATAAGTTAAGTACAATTTTGAGCTTGAACCACACATAAGTTTAACAATAGGACATATGAATAAAAATAAGTAAGTGTGCTGAAAAGAATTTTATTGGGCCAAATGTTGTCAATAAATGTAAAATTGAATGTTTATCAAAGTATATATATTGGAAGTGCAGTATATTTTTAAAACTGCTTTGCTTTCAGAAATATGAAAAATGTTTGATCTAATGAGTATTACAAAAGCGGTAAATGCTAACTACTCCCTCATCTAAAAAAAAGGAAGAAAAAAGAAAATATCTCCTCTCAGGGATTGCATGTGTATCAACTGGATTGCAATTTATGTGTTGGTACACTTCAAAATATTTTATAAACCTTTTTATAATGATAAAGATTTCTCAATTTTTCCTTTTGAGTTAATGAGTTGTCAGGGTTTGTCAATCAATGGGAAAAATTTTAAACTAAATATTAATTTTATAATTTCAGTAGTAACTAGGTAGGGATTTATTTTAATTTTATGTTTTGTTTTTTTTACATTGAGTCTATGGAAGTAACATTCTGACTTAACAGTGCTATTATTAAGACTAAAAAGTAGGGTAGTTAGGGTAACGGTGAGTGGAACCACACATATATCATAGGCGAATCCAGGGGGCTCTGCCACCCACCCCACCACCCCCCCCCCTCCTTTTGTGGGAAAATATTGGTTGTTATACTTGGAGATATTGATTTGGTAATTGTCATGAATCATGATTGTTGTATAGTTTTACCATGACAAGTTGCATATACAATAATGAATTTAGGGCCCAAAAACAAGGATTTTCTGGTTTCCATACATTAATTTGAATATAATATAAAAATAAGAAGATGTGGTATAATTGCCAATTAGACAACTCTCCATCCGAGATCAAATGATATAGAAGTAAATAACTACAGGTCACGGTACGGCCTTCAATTATGAGCAAATCCCATACATTTCTATGGATCTCTATGAAATTGAACCTCAAGGTTCATACCAAAAAAAAAAAAAGAAGGTTGGGATTGATTTTGGAGGGTTATGGCCTTAACCATTCAGGAGTTAGCATGGTAAGGTCCGTTTTTTAATTTGTTGGTTTGCACATTTTACACATGAAAAATTCGAGTGGGTCGGTCGAGAATAAAAAGAAAAAAAATATCTTTCAAGACAGAAAAAATATATTTCACCTTACTAACAAAATGTTTGGTTTGCTATCTTGTCATCGCTTAAGTTCTTGTTCCATGAATTATTATTGCTCAGCTGTTATAAACATAAATATATATACAATATATGTACATTGTACATTGTCGGAAAAAATATAATAAATTTGTATAAGCTTTAGAAACAGGACGAAAAGCGAGGCTCGCCGAGCTTATTTCCTGTTTCGTAGTGAGTACAAATAAATTTTATATTTTCCGACAATGTACATATATTGTTTTTATCCTGAAATTTACAACCAAAACTTGAAACTTTAGTTGTAAAAATCTAAATCATTGTCTCTAATTATTCAAAGAAATCGACATAGTTATAACGCGGACCGTGAATAGGACCCCAAAATGAACTGGTACGCAAAAAGAAATATCCACATTACCGCTTGACAGTACTGGCATGTGTACATGTATGTCGACAGCCAATTCTAAGTAACCTTAAACGTATACATTGTATATACAAAAGACCTACAACAATGGTATGTGCATCTATGGGGGACTTATATTTCACTGTTGTCACACAGTGTTTTGTGGCTTTATTACTGGTCAGACTATCTATCCTTTACTATTATAAAGTTAAAATATCATGTACATGATTATGACTTGCATTGTATAAATTATGATGCAGCATGATATCTTTTTGACCTACATTTTTGTCGAAAAAGCGAGACATAGAGATCCTACATTCGGTCGGCGGTGGCGGCGTCCACAAATATTCACTCTGTGGTTAAAGTTTTCGAAATTTTAATAACTTCCTCAAACTATCCTGGATTTCTACCAAACTTGGACAGAAGCTTGTTTATGATCATAAGATAATATCCAGAAGTAAATTTTGAAAAAAAAAAATTCTGTTTTTCCGTATTTTACTTATAAATGGACTTAGTTTTTCTGCCAGGAAACATTACATTGACTCTGTGGTTAAAGTTTTTAAAATTCAAATAACTTTCTTAAACTATCCTGGATTTGTACCAAACATGGACAGAAGTTTGTTTATGATCAAAAGCTAGTATCTAGAAGGAAATTTTTATTAAAATTTTGTACTTGTTTATTCATATTTTACTTATAAATGGACTTAGTTTTTCTTCCAGTTCACATTACATACAGTCTGCAGTTAAATTTTTTAAAACACTTATTAGATTCATAAACTATCCTGGATTTTTACCAAACTTGGACAGAAGCTTCTTACAATAAAAAAAATGTATCCAGAGGAATATTTTTATTACATTTTTTCCTCATCTCATTTTCGTTGAGCCTGCGATTAACAGCAAAAGTAGGCGAGACACTGGGTTCCACGGAACCCTTACGAATTTTATGTCTCACTGATTTATTAAGTACATTGTATAAGTATGAATTCAAATTGTGGTACATCATGCATGTACATGCACAGTACTTAGTTTTGAGTCTTGCACAAACACATGCCATTGGAGTTAAAATAAATTTGATCGCTGACAATGACAGAGTGTTTTGAACATTGCCTCATAGTGTTGATCAGAATACCTTTATATTAAATCAATAAAATTTTATTGTCACAGATTGAAAATATTTAGTATTTTAAAAATAAGGAGATGGGTAGGAATGCCAATGAGAAAACTTTCTGCCAGTCGAAATGAAGGGGATGTAAGAAATTTTAGGTCACTGTATCTTCAACAATAAACAAAACCATACTGTAGTGTCAGATGTAAAAGATCCTGTAAAAATGAGCAACAATAAATGTCAATTCAAATCAGAAAACTAGTGACGTTCTAATTACCAGTATTGGTAATATAAATTTTAAAAAAATCTGACACTTATTTTCTCTCTTGTTAAATATTTTTTTTGAAATATTCACCAACATGACCAAGAGAGAACTGTATTGCCAATTTTTTTTTATCGGAAAGCAGTGCATCAGGTTCAGGTGTTTTACATGATAATCACAGGAATTTAAATTTTCAGAACTAGCTCCTCAAATGTCAGTGGAATGGAAGTAATACACATCATATGTTTCAATGAAATTAACATGATTAATGATGGGATAAGACGTAGAGGAGATCCTATAGCTACAGTACATGTACATTTAACTGGTATGTATCTTTGTTACAGTATTAATAGTCCAAATGGTATAACAATAACGAAAATACTGAATTCCAAGGCAATTTCAAAAAAGGGAAGTCCATGCATATGGTAGTGGCTGCTGGGTTTTACTATTTGTATTATTAAGCTTTACAATGTATATTTCATAGGGTAGTAGACTTGGATGTTTCATAAATTGTATACAGATGACTTTTGTTACAATGTTTCTGTCCATCATATGTTGTGTGGCCATGTTAGATCACATTTTAATGGTACAGCGACCGCTTGAAAAAAGTAAAGGTTTTCATACGACCGCAAACATTAAAAATTTTTTGGTCGTATATTGGTACAATGTATCATGTTGTTGTCGTCGTCCGAAGACAGATGGTTTCCGGATAATAACTTTAGTATAAGTAAATAGAAACCAATAAAATTTCAACACAAGGTTTATAACTACTAAAAGAAGGTTGGGATTGATTTTGGGGGTTATGGTCCCAACTGTTTAGGAATAAGGGGCCCAAATAAGCATTTTTGTAGTTTCCAGTCAATAACTTGTGTTTAAGTGTATGAAACTCTCTGAAATTATACCATAATTTTCCATACGACAAAGGGATGGTTAGGATTGAGTTTGGGGGTTATGGCTCAAACCATTTAGGAATTAGGGGCAAAAAAGGGGGAAAACAAGGTTTTTTCTAGTTAAAGGACAATTAAGACAATTTTAAAGCAGTCAAAGGGAGGTAATCCAATCCCCATTTAAAAACAACAATGTTTGATTACCTCCCTTACACTGCTTGTAAATTATTTATTAAGAAACGATGATTGTCTTGAGGTGATTAGCTGTCAATTTTTTTGTTAGAAGTTACTATTAATTAATATTAATTTTTGCCATGACTATGTATGTCATTTTATATTTTAAGACATTCATGATGTATTTAAATGGGTAATTATGGTTTCAAACTTTATTAGAAATTTGAAATGAGATAATGACTATATCTTGAGGGGAAGATTTTTTTTTTGGAATAAGGGAAAGGGGGAGGTGAAAAAAATATTTTTTGGGGGGGGGGGGACAATTTGCAACAGCATAGTGTATTGCACAAAAGCAAAACATTGAATATATATTCAAATCATATAACCAATTTTTAAGTTCTTTGACTACAGTTATTCTGTGGCAAAACCTATGATGTGTCAAATATTTAATTACAATCCAAATTCAAACCTGTATCAAGCGTCAATATTGTGTCCATTTTGGCCCCAACTTTTCAGGATGGACATCTGCGGTCATATCCAGCTGCGCTCAGCGAAGCAATTTATTTTGCTTTGTGAATTTCTTTTTTTTATATTATGAGTAAATTAGGATATCTGTATTTGGAATATTGGTTCCTTGCAATGTTTATATGTACATGTACATGTCTGTGAGACAGGGTTCACCTGACCTTACTTCATGGAGCTGTCAAGGTAAAAGTTACATGATTAACACATGTCGGTCTTTTTCTCAGATATAGTAAGCAGAACTTGAGTAGATCAACTGTATTTGGTGTTTAGAATGAACAATGACCTCATTTCCATGATTCATTGGTCAATGTTAACTTTTATTTCTTGTAGGCAATATGTCAAGTATATATGATGTATGGAATGATTGTAAGTTGTACATGTCTGTCTGGACAGAGTTCATCTGACCATTCATGATCTGATTTTGATGGCTCATTGGTCAATATTAAGATTTAATAATTTAGTCTGTTTGGTGTATACTATACATGCTACATGTATGATCAATTAAAAGATCAGCTTTTTTAGCTCACCTTGCCCAATGGGCCAAGTGAGCTTTTCTCATCACTTGGCGTTGTCGTCACCGTCCGTCGTCGTCCGTTAACTTTACAAAAATCTTTTCCTCTGAAACTACTTGGCCAAATTTAACGAAACTTTGCCACAATCATCATTAGGGTATCTGGTGTAAAAAGTGTGTCTGATGACCCCACCTCCCACCAAAATGGCTGACATGGCTTAAAATGGAACATAGGGGTAAAATGCAGTTTTTGGCCTATATCTCTGAAAGTAAAGCATTTAGAGACAATTTGACATGGGGTAAAATATGTTCATCAGATTATGATCTATCTGTCTGTTGTTGGGTTGCTGCCTAGGGTATCTAGTTTTTAAAAACATGGCAGATATGGCTAAAAATAGAACATAGAGGGAAAATGCAGTTTTTGACTTATATCTCTGAAACTAAAGTAAAAGTATAACGATTGCATTATTTCATGCATCAATTGTAAATACAAATATCAGGTGAAAGACACAGGCTCCTTGGAGCCTCTAGTTTGGTGTATGCAATAATGGTACATGTTGTAAGGTGCACATGTCTGTCTGGCTTAGTTTATCTGAACTTGACCTTAATATTTGCTTGACAGTATATTTTCATGAATCATTGGTAATGTTAAGTTTATTTGATACTTATCATAAACTTATAATTATTCTTATATCTTTAGGACAAGCACCATAAAACAGTGGGGACATAAAAATACCTGGAGTCTGTCTATCCCTTTGGCCTTATAAGCGCTCTCACTTGCATGTCTTGTACAATTCTTGTCAAATTTTTAGGAAACTTATTTTGATAGGTTATATCAACAATGTCTGACAAGTTTTAAAATCAGTGCCAATCAATCATTTTTAAAAGAGTTATGCCCCTTGGAAACATTAATTATTTGGAAAATTGCATTGTTAGGGCTCTTGTGTACAATTCTTGCCAGAATTTTATGAAATTAATATTAAATAGGTTTATATCATCAGAATGATCAGAGCATTTTGATTTTCATCTGTAATGTTTACAAATTCCAAGTTTCATGGCAAATTTCAACCATTATAAACCTCCACAACCTCCATAGCAGAGGTAATCAAAAAGAAGTGCAGCAACAAACAACAACTATTAATATTCCACTCCAGTTAATCTGACACACAATATACATGTATGATTATACACATAGATATGAGAAGATGTGGTATGAGTGCCAATGAGACAACTCTCCATCCAAGTCACAATTTATAAAAGTATATATATATATGTACCCGGTAAGTTTGGATATTAAATTGATGTTATCATTTTTGCTTGAATGGTAAGGCAATATTTAATTTGATGTATATTTTACAAAATAATATATGCTGGTTTTTTTTTTTTTTATAATAGCAAATGTATTCCAAGAGTTTATGGCTGATTATGCAACTACAGGATTTTATCATTAAAGCAACATCTTAGAAGGATAAGTGCAAATGTATGAAGGAAGCCTTGTGTACAAATACATGTAGCAATTACATGCAGGAGAGAACACTTAAACATTACTAACATGTAGTCATGATATTGGAGTGGTGCATTCTAGAAATCTAAACACCTGGAATTAAATATTGTGTATATTTTTTTTCAACCACAAGTACTTTCAGAATATAATACAATTCAAATTCAAATTATTGTGTCAACATGACAGTTACTGTCTAAAAATGGAAAATGCTTGTTTTAAAATGAATTTTATGTAAATATTTTAAATAACAAGAATTTTTAGCTTATTGTGCAGCCAAACTTTGAGATCTGTTAATGGTATATGCCTGTTGTTTGTCAACATTTATTTTCTTTTTGACTTAGCCTTAAGATCAGTGTTAAAACGAAAAACTGAAAACCATATATGAAATAAGAAGGAAATGGTTGTAAATAACAGCAAGACTTTCAATATGGTATATCAAATATATTTCACAGAACTTTCTATTTCAGTTTATTATTACAATGAGATATGAGGTATAAATCAATCAGACAGTAACACAACAACAAAAACACCTGAAAGGCATTAAGGTGCTAACATACAGTCCTCAACAATAGACAAGTGTCTGAACAATATGTCATGATCTGTTTAATTGACCAGAGTACATGAGTATGTGGCAGGGTGAACTACCTTTTTATTCAAAACTCTCATAAGAAGAATTTGCATCTTTTGCAAGTAAGACTTTTCCATAATGTGATTGGAATGTCTCAAAACTGATGAACACAAAAAGACTTATACATACATATTAAAAATGAAATATACATCAGTGCATACATCTTCTATAAATGAATCACCTTCCATACATCAAATTAAAAAAAATATTGAGACTTGAATACAACAAAAAATGTTCTAGGAGTGAACTATGGTGCCCTGGATATTTGCTTGCCTTCTTGGTTTTATTGCATCTTATCTGCTGCATTGAAGATATTGTGAGTTGGAGTGGATGAATAAATATTATTTGTATTGTTTAGGACCAAGAAATTTAAGATACAAAGAGAAAGTAAAATAGAATGGAAGTATGAATACATCCTCAAGACCAAGAAGAATATTTATATATCAAAATAGAATGTGTACTAGATTAGCATTTACTTATCTAAAATATGCTCAAATACTGTGAAAATTCACCTTAATTTCATTTAAAAAAAATAATGTGAAAACTCGATTCACATTAATTTCACGTGAAAAATTTAACGTGAATTTCACGTGAAAGCTCGATTCACGTTATTTTCATGTGAAAAATTTCACGTGAATATCACTTGAAAGCTCGATTCACGTGAAATTCACGTAAATTTAACGTGAGTTTCACGTGAAAAATTTCACGTGAGTTTCATGTATAAGCTCGTTTGAGGTGAATCTCACGTGATTTTCACGTGAAATTTACGTGAACAAAATTTGCCTGTGTATCACTGATGATGTTGATATTTGTTACAACAACAAAAACAAGATTGTTAATTTACCAATCTATTTTCTTTTGAATATCACTGATGATGTTGTCATACCAATTGTTTGAAGAAAAAAAACTATGTCTGTAAAATATGAACCACATGTTGTTTTTATTTCTACATAAGCGAAGTGGTTAGTTTCATTAAAATTCGATACAAATTGTATACAAAAATTAGAATGCCAGGATATGATAGTTTGTCCCACAGGTATGATACATTTGTAAGAGTATAATGTAATGTTGACATCAATATGCTGATATAACAACAAATCTACCATAAGTATATAAATAATAAGACGTGGTATGATTACATATAAGATTTTTACATAAATTAGGCCGTTAGTATTCTCGTTTGAATTGATTTACATTTGTGATTTCGGGGCCTGTTATAGCTGACTATGCGGTATGGGCTTTGCTCATTGTTGGAGACCGTACGGTGACCTAAAGTTGTTAATTTCAGTGTCATTTGGTCTCTTGTGGAGAGTTGTATCATTGGCATTCATACCACATCTTCTTTTTAATATGTCCACCAGAAACCAAATGACATATAAGTTAACAACTGTTGTTTATCGTACGGTCACCTACAGTGACCAAAACACTTCCTACAAAGTAACATATCAAGTGGCGTCAAAATTGCAAATATAAAACAATATAAACGAAAAACCAACTAAAATTCCCGAGAGTTTAAAACAGTAGTGGTTTTGTCATCTTCTGTCAGCTAAACCCATCATATTTTCTGAGATTTTCCGCCAAACTATATATAAATACTTTACTAAATCGTCAGACATCCTTATATATGTCTCTGGGTGCAGGTATTGTACGCTGCATTGAAGACCCATTGGTGGCATTGGACTGGTGTCTACCCATTTGTCTTGTTGTTGTCTCTTTGACACATTTTTCGTTTCTATTCTCAACTTTATACATAATCGTCCATCCCCAGAGTGCAGAAAATAATCAGATTGTTCTTTATGGACTGTTTTCACGTTTACACTGATATTGGCATAGTCTATTTAACTATATATCATACGTTATTTGATTTGTAGTGTTCTTCGTCGTGGTTTTTTTTAGAGTCATAACACAGTAAGTGTGGCTATTTATTGGAAACTAGATGTGTCAGTGGCAGAGAATAATTATATTTATTATGCAGTCATATCAATACGATTCGTAAACTTGTAAATTTATGAAAACTCTTATGTTTATTAAGTTGACAGATATACATGATACAGTCATTATTTAAGTCATACGAACCTCCATAAACTGTTACATTCACAGGGTTGCTTTCACCAGTTGTAATAGCATTTTGAGCATGACATCTGTATTGTCCAGATTCGTCAAATGTCACATCTAATAAGGCGATTAAAACTGGAGAACAAGTAATGTTTCTTCCAAAGTGTGAGGTCTGTGTTACACCATTAAGTTTCCATGACCAGTAGACGTTGTAGTGAGGTGGGTGGGATGATATATTTCAAATCAAAGTGATGTCCTGACCGTTTTCAACACTATAAGGGCCTAGTTCAATATTCACCGACGGAACACCTAATTGTAAATAAAATTCAAATTATTTTTTTGATAAACAGCAGAAACACGTCTAAAAAGTAAAACAACAAGAATACTGAACTCCGAGGAAAATTCAAAACAGAAAGTACCTAATCAAATGGCAAAATCTAAAACTCAAACACGAATGGATAACAACTGTCATATTCCTGACATGGTACAGGCATTTTCTTGTGTAGAAAATGGTGGATTAAACATGTTTTATAGCGCCAAACCTCTCACTTGTACGACAGTTGCATCAAATTTAATTATAATTAGGTACAACGATACGTGAACAAAACAAACAGACATAATAGGTAAAAATGTCACAATTAAGGGTACAACAACAACACGAACCCCACCAAAAACTGGGGGTGATTTCAGGTGCTCTTGAAGAGTAAACAGATCCTGCTTCACATATGGCACCCATCGTGTTGCTTATATTATAAAAAAGCCGAAGAATAGTCTAATTCGGTAGATCACATTCGTGAAAATGGAACGGGATTGTAGTTACGACATAAGGAACATATTCGATATCATCTGTTAACGAATATTTTATAACGGTCAACCAACTCGTGATGGCGTACGTAAAATTTTCGAAGTGATGATATCAACTTCACCATTTTGAACTCTTTGTTTAAAAATGAAAAGGTCACAATTGGGAAGCTGAAATCATCTCTTTTGTCTAATTATTTTCAACCGACCTTTATAGTTAATATCTATATATCAATCCTAATTAAACAGGAAAAATCAAAAGCTCAAACACATCAAAGGAATTGATAACAACTGTCATATTCCTGACTTGATACAGGCGTTTTCCTATGTAGAATATAGCAGTTACATTATAATGCATTACCCAACTTTTGTTTTAAGTAATATAGATATCCATTTGAGATCGATTATTTAAAACAAATCATAGGGAGACGTTAAAACCTATTTACATTGATGAAATAATAGTAGATGTTAACTATGAATGGTACCATAAATTGATTTTTTTTTTATATTTTTGTCATTTCCATATTAAATACTATTACTGCCTTTTTTAAGTACAATTTGCAAGGGAATTAAACCTTTCCGAAATATCACATTTTCAGTAGCAGTGACCTTGCATTTTGACTTACTGACTTCAATATCTTCTATGTCTTCCATCTTTATGTTTCATTTCCAGTGAATGAAGGAAAACACGTTAATTGCTTCACATCACGGTGCGGAGCTATTAGTTTCAGTAGCTATACACGCCATCTTAAAATAATTATTTATCACATATATATTGCGAGGAAATGACCAGCAGAAAGAACTAGAAAACAACACTCCAGAACAACACATTTACAACTAAAACACTGCATAGCCAGTTTAAAATTTCAATAAAGTTTATCTTAATACAAATGTATATATACTAGTACACAAATTGATATCCTTTGTATATCAATTAATATCTAAAAGTACCACATTTCCAATACAAAATCAACATGTACACATATCATCTTACATCAGGATAGAGCGAAGCTTTACATAGCTTTAGAAAGCTCACACATTTGAAAATATGTTTAGTAGTAAGGGAACCTTTACTTATAATTCGGAAACCTTTGTTTTATAATATAAAAATATATTGTAATAAGAGCGACTTTTACATTTGAACCATTGACCCTAAAATCATCAGGCTCTTTGTCCTATTGTTGTTATCGTCGGCAATTGTACGTCAATCAAAAGAGAAAACTGCCAGCTACAATCAAAGCATTGTATGTTTCGGACTCAATGACGATCGGAAAGACGGAACCACTAATGGCTGATAAGGACAAACGGACGAGCAAGGATTAATTTACTGTTAAAGTCAATATGGTTAATACACTGTTTAATTTTTGCCAAGCTGAAGGTCATTTTGGTAAAAACGGATGGTGTATACACAACTAGCACTGGACATTCATCTTTAAATGAACTTTACAATCAGATCCATACTTTCTTACATTTACGCCAATCATAATGAATAGTTGTCCTATTGGCAATCTTACTTCTTATATTTGCAGAAACTTCGGTATAGCGGTTTGAACTACATAGAAAGTTGTTTCAAATGTTATTCTGCTATTTCTGCTGGATTTTTATTTAGGATTAAATTAGTTCTGAATTGAGTTTTTGTTGTAATACATGTTTAAGTATAAAATTTCTTGTTGTCAATATTCCTTATTTATCAAATTAATTATTTTATTTCTGGATATTATTGAGATATTTTAAGTGG